GGTATAGTATTTTATATCAGGAATAAGCCTGCTTGTCAGCTCCACCTGAGAACATGTAGGTCTTGTACAGATATTATCCAGGTTTTATATGAGTATTATATAGGCATTAACATGTAGGAATGGTATAGACATTTAGGCTTTATGAGTAGTATATAGGTATCATATAGGTTATATTGGGGTATATTGGGTTATATAGGGTGGGACATCTGCCCATGCGGCTCGAAAGCCTTACCTCTCCTTATGGCAGTCTCCAGATAACCCCCAGATCCTATTTTAGCTTCCATTGTCTGTTCAATTCCTCCACTCCCTGCTAACCGCAGCCAAGCTCAAAGTAGCCAAGCTGCTCTGAGATAAAGCTTGAATCCTCCTGGTGCCGGCATCTTATCTGGCTTTGGCAAAGGAGGGGCTGGCGGCTCCACCTCAGCGCAGGATGATGGGGCTTGATCACGCACGAAGATGAAGATGAGAACAACTCTTTGGCGCTTTGTAGGGAATGTCAAAAAGGGACCATAACTGGGGATTCTGTCCGGAATACTGTAGGAAAACATTCCCTCCTTGTCTACTCCAACAAGCAAGCGAGATGCAGACGTGTCTGCATCCAGCCCCTTCTTCTTGAGATCCTGCTGTGTGATCTTCGGGATCTTTCGCATCCACTTGATCTTCAAGAACTCCTTGACCTTCCTTGGATGAAAAGCGATCTAGGGCTTAGGGCTCCTTGACCTTCCCAGGATGACAAGCTTGAATACTTGCAGCAAAGCAGAATCCAACTCTTGCAGGATAGACGCTGGAGCACAGCATCATACCTTGAGGAAGCAGACCAGAAATGTGAAATTGCTCATGTGTCCCTCCAACTCGCTGAACTGTTAGTAGGGACTGAAGAATGAGAAAGTTGAAGCTACGGTGTTACTTGGGAAACCTATGGGTTGCTACAGAGGTCCATTCCTTCATGCTCTACTAACAACCAGTAAGCCGAGCCAACTTATCCGGCAGCTGGTTCGAGCCGAGTTGCTCTTTTTGAGCCTCAGGCTGTGACTGAGATGCAATATCTATCAAAACATGGCTGCAGAGCCCTGAATATCCCAGAACTCTCTATTTCCGGCAGGGCTCTCCCAGAGGCGCAATAAGGGCTGGCAATGATGAGAGAGCTGCTGCAAACTCCTCAAAGCCAGCCCACGCATGACGGATACCATGAGGGCCTAAATGATTACCAACTACCTGAGGCACCATAATTAAACAAGGAATCTAGAACCATCATTAGTCATTATTGAGGCCCCTATAGTACTCAGCAAACGTCAACGAGGCAAAGCAACGGAGCCTTGCTCGTCTGGTTGGGCAGGACGTCGCTAAGCTTGTAGCCTAGTGGTTTAGGGTTCAATCAGGGTTTAGGCTTGAGGAAAAGCTTGTAGCCTCAGATTTTGCCGTTTGCTTGGCCATACATCACAACATTTACTGGAAGTCAGCAGGGCATAGGAGAACCTGCTTATTGTGAGGATTATGTAGCAGCGCAAGGTTCATCCTGGTCGGTCGTTACCGCTCATTGTTCCGAGCTGGTCCCCATGAACACAGAGTGTATACGAAAGACATCAACAATAAGCTCAGGAGCCACTCTACCGTCCTAGTTGAGGCAACAACTACTGCGATGGTCCACGGATTCGGGGTAAGCACTGGAACACACCAGAAAAGTGAGCATGAGCTAATTCGAATTAGAATTGTCAAGAGTATACGTCCATCAACCGACAAAACAAAAGCTCGTCCACGCCCAAGCGCACGTCATTGAATTAGGGAGTTTGCCATTGCTTAACTCCCGCCTGCGCAGAATAGCACTCACTTCCAGTACCTGCAGTAACGACTCCAACATCCCAGGAGGGTCCACGGCTCATGGATCGAGGCACGCACATGGTTGCCCGTAACGACAAAGCAGGCAATCCACGGCTGCAGAGTCGTTTGGGGTTTAGGGTCTTTTGTGCGTCTATTACAACAACTGCCGATCCAGGAGTAAAGGGCCACAGGCC